GGGGAGGGGCAGAGAGAGAGGAAGAGAGAATCCCAAGCAGGCTCGGAGCTGTCGGCACAGAGCTTGATTTGGGGCTCGAACTCATAAACCATGAGATCATGACCTGAGCTAAAATCAAGAGTTGGACGCTCAACCAGCTGAGCCGCTTAGGTGCCCCGTGGCTCTCTCTTTAAAATTTTCATTAATGCTTTAAGAAATCAGACTTATACAGGATAGCATAGAGATTTCCCAAATTGATTATGAAGGAATCCAGTCTTAGGAACACACCTCACATACTGAGTTTTTCTGTAACGAAGTTCTAGGAAACTGTTAGCCGCCTTATTGTATTGTCTTCGGCTTCCAGTCTTTGTCTAGAGATGTGTCCTTAACCCTGCCCTCGGTCTGTCTTTCAGGGGAAAGGTGGCAGTAATGCTGACGCTTGCGAGCAAACTGAAGCGGGATGACGGTCTCAAAGGGTCCCGGACGTCAGCCACGGCCTCCGACTCCACTCGGAGGGTGTCTGTGAGAGACAGGCTGCTTGTTAAAGGTGATGTCATCCATGTGAGCTGTTTTCTATCCTGTAACAAAATGAAGTCTGACTGGAGGCTCTTCTGGGATGCGAAGTGGCCTGTTGCTGAATAGAAATACTTACTTGAAAGTGTTGAAGGATGTGCTTGCTTGTCACTTCCAAGGACTTTGTACTGTGCACACACTGCAGGAACGCCGACGGCAAGAAAGCACGGCGTGTCTCACGCACTCGGGTTGTGCTCTGCAGGGGCTGCCGGGATGCTGGCGGAAGGATGTCGGTGCTGGGGGGCCAGCAGGCCCAGGACTGGTCCCGGTGCCGTCTGTCTGGCTGGTGTGTGTGGGGCCGGGGAGTCCCTTCCTTTCTTGTGCTCAATCACAAGAAGCTCCAGGGTCCCTCTCCCACACCTGGGCACCAGTTTCTGGTCTGTACAGGGAGGGAGTGGGATTCAGTAATCTCTCAGCATCCTTCTGTACTTTATTCAAGTCACAGCCTGAGGAGAGCCTTGTAGCAAGTAGTTCTCTTCACAGAGTTAATAACAGTAGCCTGGAACTCTCGTCTTTGGAGAAGGGTTTGTGTAATGTGTATGAGTGTGCGTGTCTGTGAACATGCCCGTGTTGGTATGGAACTTTTGCGTTCAGTCTTCGAACAGACTTATAGCTGCCACGTGCAGAGACAGTTTCCGAGGGTCGTGAGACTACAGAAGATGTGGATCCTGAGAAGCTTAGCAGAAGTCCATGGGGGAGGGGAAGAAAAAAAAAAGAGGTTAGAGAGGGAGAGAGCCAACGCATAAGAGACTCTTAAAAGCTGATAACAAACTGAGGGTTGATGGGGGGTGGGAGGGAGGGGAGGTCGGGTGATGGGCATTGAGGAGGGCACCTTTTGGGATGAGCACTGGGTGTTGTATGGAAATAAACAGTTTGACAATAAATTACATATTAAAAAAAAAAAAGAAATAGTTCCTGCCCTAAAAGCTTAGAATTTGCAGCACTTTTTACTTTATGGCATGTGTTTGCATTTAAGTGTGTAGAGCTAGGAAGCAAAGAAGGGCCACACAGTTAGGACTGCCTGTTTTCATGCTGCAGCAGGCAGACCGCATGAGGTTACTGGCATTCATATGTCCTGAAACGGACCTAATGGCAGGAGAGCTGGGATGTGTGAACGCGCTGTTGTCCTTCTCAGAAGCGAATCAGCGCTGCCCTTGGGCGGGAGTGGGGGCCAGGAAGGCGTCAGGTTCGGGGAGTCTTCAGCGGTGCCCTCCTCCTCACTCTTCCTGCACTTTGCCTTAGCTCGGGTTTATCCGGCCAGATGGATGATGGGGTAACGATGGAGGAAAAAGCATTTTTTACGTTTTGATACTCTACCCATGCCGTCAGATTGAATTCAGAATTTGTGATGGCGCTGCGGGAGTCAGGTGGGATGCGGGACGCGGCTCCTCACCTGATGGGCCTGATAGGACTTGAATCTCTTTCCAAGATGCTGGCTCGAGGGTTCCATCTGCAGAGGAAGCCAGGAGCCACGCAAACCGAGGAAGGGGTTAGCGGTGTTGACGCTGTCCTCAAGTGGAGAGTATTTTAGCGCCTGGGAGTTACAGTGAGGAAGGTCCAGATGTTAGCTGAGGAGGAGCAGGTGGGAAGCCACGAGTAGACTGTCCCGGCTGCTTCACCGTATCCCTTGTCATGGTTCATAACAGCTTTTGTACACTGGGCACATGGGGCCAGGCCCTCCGTTGGACACTTTATAAGGCACTTGTCATTTACCTTTTGCTAAGCCTTGCCAGGTGGGTGGTTCATTTTGTCGCTGAGGAACTGAGACTCAGAGAGGTTAAAAAACTTGCCCAGATTACAACTGTATTATTGTAGCAGGAGAGCCAGACCCACGTTTTGGGGTGGGGCAGGCGCTGGGGGAGCAGACCTGGCAAGCAAGATCTGAATGAGCAGAAGTGCAAGTCCATTGAAAAGAGCATTCGGGGGGGGGTGCAAAGGCTCCTGCACACCTTGCACCTGCTCAGGGATTCACCTGCCAGCTCTCAAATGGCTCTAGGACCCAATGCAGCCCAGAGGGGCCCATTGAGGCCCACAAAGCTGGATTCTGCTCCACCTCCCATGACAGATGTCTTTGACAGGGTTTACAGGGCCCTGCTAAGGTCCTTGACCTTGTGAGACTCATCAGAGAGAGGTGCAGAAAGAACCACCTCATGAGGCCACCTGTTTCCATCCTCCTACGACACTGGTGATGATCAGGTTTCTGGGGTAGTTGTGGGTAGCAGGGCTCAGTAACACCCCTCACGTGGCCTGCCCTCTGTCTGCCCTAGGTGGCTGTTGGCCCAGGCTGGGCTGGCTGAGGGGTGAGCAGTTTGGGCTTGTGGTGGAGGGTGGGTAGAGAGCAGGGGTGGGCCTGACCTGAGACTGGGGGCTGTGAAAAACCAGTGCGTACTAAAGGGTGCTCTGATGGTCCCTGATCGCCTGGTCTGCACCTAGGGCACTCCTTTACTTGGCCGGGTGGGGCAGAGGTTTTCATTCTGCAGGTTTCTGATGGTGGAAGTGGTGTGTGGAGTCCAGGAGTCCGTAGCATTTTGGGGCACTCGGGGGGTGATTAGGGGAGGCCGGGGAGGCCCCCTCTGGGAACTTTGAGAGAAGTCGGGCGTCCGAGTTCAGTAAGACTGTCGTCCTGGGCTGTGACTTGGACTCACGTGAGAATGTTACTCATGAGGATCGTTAGGTTACACAAAAGCGTATTGCGAGTCGGTGCCATGGGCTGGGTTCCTGGGAATGCGGAATTTGTCAGCAGGAGCGTTAGGAAGCAGTGTCGCTGGGACTGATACCTGTGGAGGGAAAGGAAGGAGGCAGGCTTAGGCAGAATAAGAAATGGAGCTTTGGGGAAGGCCCCAGACAGCCCCTGCTTCGGCAGGTGCAGCCTTCGGAGCTGTCCCCAGTCAGACGAGACGGTCAGGTCTTCCTGCTCTGTGTTGATCAGTTGTCCACCGGGGGCTGCCCCGAGAGGGTTGTGGCCTGGAGTCGGGGAGTCTGTGCAGCCCACCCAGTTCCCAGAAGGACTGAGAGCTGAAGGCCATGTGCAGACAGCCATGTGTGGTGGGGGGAGGTTGGGTGGGGGTGAATCCTGTCGCCCAGAGGTTGGGATGTGGCTTGGTGCAGATGGCTGTAGGGCGGAGCGGATGGGTGGGAGAGAGCAGAGGTTGGCAGGGCCAGTTGTGGCTGCACAGCTGAGGCTCCTGTTCCTGTTCTTGCCTCTGGGAGGCCGGAGTCCCTCTCCCTGGAAAAACCAAAGCCTGCCTGGGAGCAGCCGGCCAGGGGGGGCCTCTCCTGTGCTGGCACCTTGGTCATACCACCTTTTCATCCGCATCTCATGGGTAACTGTCAGGGACGTCCTCCAGGCTGGAACTGGGGTGATGCTTATAGCAGCAGCAGCAGCAGCAGCCCCTGGAGGCTGCAGAACAATTATTTCCAGGCTAAGACTGGGAGCTGCTGTCTGCCCTGAATCCTAGGACCTGGGGACACTGTGGAGAGCGTGTCAGATCTGTGCAGGTCTGAGCCGAACTGGGGAACCATGGCCAGTGTTTTTAGCCACAGGGCAGGTGGGACTAAGTTCCTGGTGGACCTTTATGGGCCCACTGAGCTAGAGTCTCATCCGACAGAAGCTTAGCCCCTTTTGTACAATGGGATCATATGTGTCTTTGTGTTCTTTCCTTTTTTCACTCAACAAACATTTTAGTCCAGCTGTGTGCCAGCCTGTTAGTGACCCCCGAAGACCCCAAGAGGCTCCAGGCATGCCAGCAGGAACCTTTCACCTCTGTGAGTCTTTGTTCAGTGTGGAGACTTGGACCGAGCTGAGTTCAGGGTCAGTCCTGGAATTAGGGGAACAAGACAGAATGAACGTGTGCACCTTTATCCATATCAGCCCCCGCACCCCAGGTGGTTTCTGCTTCTGGGGCTGTGCTGTGTGGCTGTCCACGCTCCAGGCCTGGAGCAGAGAGGCCTGGCTACCCACCTGCATGTGTTCCCCAGGGTCTAGGGTGCAGATGTGTCCTCGGGGTGCCACGCGGGGCCTCAGGTGAACTGCTGTGTCCACATGAGCAGTCTGGTCATGGGATGGGATAGGAAGGCCCGTTCCAGTGCAGTTCCTGGAAGAGTGGGGGAAAGAGAACCGTTCATTGTTCTCCAGAGCTGCTGTCGCCATGCCAGGCCCTGCCCAGGAGTCTGGGGGTGGGCTCGGGGTTGGGCTTGCCATGTTGGCAGAGTACTCAGCAGAACTACAGTATGTATGTATGTGTTATTTATTTATTTAACGTTTATTTTTGAGGGGGGGGGGGAGGGACAGAGAGAGAGGGAGACACAGAATCCGAAGCAGACTCCAGGCTCCGAGCTGTCAGCACAGAGCCCGACGTGGGGCTCGAACTTACAGACCGTGGAGATCGTGACCTGAGCTGAAGTCGGACACTTAACCGACTGAGCTACCCAGGCGCCCCGCTACAGTATGTATTTTAAGAAGTAGAGCAGTGGCCTAGAAGGAGGAGTCCCGCTAACATGGAGCTAAGGCAGCTGGCCCCGAGAATACCATTGAAGCTGCCCAGCAAGGTTGGTGGCCCCACGTGGGTGGGCCCGGTAGCCCAGGGGGGCGGGGAGGGTTGTGGAAGGCGGATGAGGCTTCAGGTTGCCCTTGTCCACTCCTGTTGAGAGTGGGGGTGGTGGGGGCCTTGGGCTCCATTCCCATCAATACCAGTCTCTGCTGCGGCAGCTGTGCTGGTTTTCCGGGTTGCGGCCTGAGTGTGAAAGGGACCGTGGGTGCTCTGGGCCCACACTCCGAAGTGTGCTGCCGAAGGGCCCTAGACGGAGCGGAAGGGCTGAGGTGAGGGTCCGTGGGGTCCTCAGGCCTGGGTGCGGGTGGTGCCGTCTCTGGGAGAGCTGATGCCCTTAGTTCGGGTGTCTCCCAGATAAGGGCACTGCGTGTGGATGCTGAGAGCGCAGAAGGGGTGCTCAGTGCATGAAGACAGGCGGGAAGCTGAGAGAAAGTTCTGGTCAAAGAAATCGCGGAGGTAGTGGTTCAGGCCGAAGGAGGTAATCAAGGCCTCTGGGAGGTAGCTGCATCACTGACTGGGTGACTGGGTGGGGCGGCCCAGCTGCCTTGCCTGATGGGGCTTGGAGCTGGCGTTTGCCAAGAACCACGTGCGTCTGTGACTGACCTTTTGTCTTAGCTCAAGCTGCCGTAAGCAAATAGTATAGATTGGGTGGTTTCAGCAACACACATTTATTTCTCGTGGCTCAAAGGCTGGGAAGTCCAAAATCCAGGCATCAGCGGATTCGGTTCCAGTCAGGACCCCCTTCCTGGCCCGCAGGCACCTGGTGTCTCTTCTTCCAAGGGCACTAATGCCATTGTGAAGGCCCCACCCTCATGACCGCATCTAATTCTGATCGCCTCCTGAAGGGCCCACCTCCTGATGCCATCACATGTGGGGACAGGGTTAGGGCTTCAACATAGGAACTCAGGGGGAACACACTTCCACAGCACCTTGGGAATGCATTGGTCCCTAACTGCATGAGGAGAAGGGCTTCTCACTCTCGGGACATGCGCACCAGGAGCACCGCCAGCTTTCGGGCAAGTGTGCTTATCCGTTAAGCATTTCCTGAGCGACCTGTGTGTGTGCCAAGCCCCAGACCGAGTGCTAGGGTTGCAGGGCTGGGTCACACCGTACAGCCCTGCCATGAAGAGTGTGCAGATTTGAGTGGCAGGCAGTGTGGAAACAATAAGAGCGCTGTGCTGCCAGCAGCCTGTGGCAGAAAGGGGCGGGTATGTGCCGTGTGAGGGCCACCGCGGTCATGAGGTGGATCTTGTAATCTGATATTTCAGTGCAGGCATGCTTGGAGTGGGCTCTGTGGTTTGCTTTTTAGTTAGAAAGGAGAAGAGTCTAAGTTTTCAGAGGAAGTTGTGCAGCCATGGAATTGTGCAAGATGAAAGGTAGGGCCAGTAAGATGTAGAGGGGTTAGTGTCTTGGCACAGGCGAGATTTCAGCAGGTTAAACATAGCTGAGTGTCTTGCTATTTTACAGGTAGGGGTAGTGTCCTGCAGGCAGTGAGGTCATGCAGGGAAGGGCCACCGCTTTGCTAAGAGGCCTCTCGAACGTGTAAAGCAATTCGCTCATTTCTTTGGCCGTAGACTTCTTGTACGTAGATTCTAAGGTATGACTACTGATGTTAATAAATTCTTATTTGCCATCATTTGAAGTGTAGACGAACTGTGTCATTTGTGACAGCTCCATGGGAGTGTGTGGCTTATTTTATCTACTGCACTAGGCTGAGCTAAAATGCTGAGCATCTTGATTGAAATTGTCGTGCTCCCAAGATTGCGCTCCCTGCCTGCGCTTGGACCAAAACCTCGCAGCGGCCCTGACCATGGTGGGGCTCTCCCAGCCCTTGTCCACTCTCCTTGACTGAGTGACACCGAACCTAGAAACGGAAGCATAACGCTCATCTTTGGAGCTGAAATTCTAGACTACAACGTGAAGTTATCAAATCCATCTGTGTAAACATCTGCGTGCGAATATCTGAGCATGGCCAAGTAGCCTGTGGCGGTTTCCTGTACCTGGGGAGGGTAAAACATTCAGAGGCCTGGGCCCCACGTACACCTCCTGGTGTAGTGGGTCCGCATAGGGCTAGGAGTGGTAAAAGCTGAGCAGGTACTAGGTTATGGTGACGAATGCACAACTCCAGGTTTTAACTAAAAATTATTGAATCGTACAGTTAGAGTGGGTCTGTTTTCTTGTAAATTGTGCCTCACCAAAGCTGTTGTTTGATAAGTGGGCAGAACAGCAGAAAACTCCCCCAGTGATCTATATGCAGCCAGGCCGGAGGATTCCTGTTCTACAGTAGGGCTTCCTCTGGACACAGGCCTCTGGCCCCAACACCCCATCATGGTGGTGCAGGGGTCCGCTTCTGTTGTTCGGTCACCACTGTGCCCCTGGTCGGTGCCTTGCTGTCCTCCTGCGTCCTGACCTCACTCTTCCCCAACCCTTGGCACCAGACGGCCGCCTTAGATATTTTGCTTCCGTTTTGTGGCCCCCTCCTCCTCAGATCCTCTGGGCACACTGGACTACCAGAGTTTCACAACTAGACGGGATAGGCTTGCCGGGGAAAGCCAGTTCCGACCTCAGTCTCTCAAGATGAGGGCCCTCAAGGACGGTTTCTTGTAAGTTCTTAGCAACAAGCTAAATGGTAGTGTAATAAAATATGTAAATACAGTTTAAAAACATACATTTTATGTAGGTACTTTATTCTTTTAAATGTTTATTTTGAGAGAGAGAGCTTGCATGTGTGAGCAGGAGAGGGGCAGAGAGAGAGAGAGAGAGAGAGAGGGAGAATCCTAAGCAGGCTCTGTGCTCACTAATGTGAGCTCTATCGCATAAACAGTAAGATAATGACCTGAGCCGAAATCCAAGAGTCAGACGCTTAACACCCTTAATCGACTGAGCCACCCAGGCGCCCCCAGGTAACATTTATTTTGAAGTGATTAACATGAATGACTCATTTGTTAAAATGTACACTTTTTTGATAAAACGAATGCCCTGTGTGAGCCGCCAGAGCGGAGTGTGGCCCTGGGAGGGCCTCGGAGGGCCTGGTATTGGTGTCCTCGGAGCGGGTAGCACTTGGGCCTCGGCCCGCCTTTGCTGTTCGAGGTTTTCTTTAGCGAGTGCCCTGGCCCCAGGACAGTGAGAACGGGCCAGTCAGAAAGACGAAACCAAAGTTCACTGTGCTCATTGGAAGAAAACGATAGTGAATGTTCATAGGATTATCCTTACGTTTTATCAAGTGACTGGATTTTAAATGTAAAATGTGCCATGACGCCAGGTGGCCAGGAAAAGAGACTTCCCAGGCCTGCACCTCACCACAGAACCTGTTCCTTTTCCAATCACAGCAAGACGATAATGAACTGTCACTCCTCTCTCCATGCCCAGCTCTGCTGAAGAGATCTGCTCCTTTTCTCAGGAGTGAGGACACTCTCCCCGGCTAGGGCACTGGACAGAACACTGTAGAACCACGTGAGCACCTTTCTGCTCCCTCACTCCACCCATCTCTGCCCCACTCCACTTTTCTGAATGCCCATTCCAGATACCTGGAGCCCAGAGTGGACACATTTAGCGGACCGCCTGTCTGTACCCAGATTCTCAAGTAGCTGATACTAAAGGCCTGTGGGCCTCCAGCCCTCAGCCTCAGAGTGGAGCCGTCTGCCTGCCCGTCTTCCCGCTGACACGCTCCGTGTTCAGCTTCCCAAGGTCATGGCGCCCCCGTCCCTTCCCTGCCCACCGTTCCACACTTCACTTGAAGGAATCGCCCTACCCACTGCTTCTGTGTTTTGGCCCCCCCATTTACTTCTTAGTTTTTTGGAATCTGGTTTCCATCTTGCCACCTGCCTTCCTGCCGTTTTGAGGACCCTCAGCGGGGTCCGATCCGCATCCGGTGGCTTCGACCAGGGCCTCATTTCCCTGGGACCAGTCTGTCTCTTGAATCACTTACGTTCCCCACGTGTCTCCTCGTTTTCCTCCTGTTTGTCCTGAGTGACTCTGTGCTCTCGGCCGAGCTTCATTCTTTTTGCCAGCCTCCCCTGTCAGTCTCATGAGGTCCAGGTGGCGTCACCACGGGGTCTCTTTGGCCCTGGCTGTGCGCCCGGATTGCAGCTTCTTCCTCCTAGGACTTCCCCAGCAGCTCAGCTCT